TAACAAGCCTGTGACGGCCATCCCAGCCTCTCCTGTCTTTGTCGGTAATAACTTTCTGCCTATTTAATAACTTCATTCTAGGAACTTGATGGATGCATAGGTCGTAGTTCAAAAAACATATTTTAGGGCCATGCTCGAGGCTGGTATATATTATTCAAAATCAGAAACAACATTATTTGCTTATGCATGGGCCAGGCCAGGCCAGGTACGGTGCTCTTAAGAGTCAGCACTTCATAAACGCTCCATCACCGGAGACAATCTTAGGGGCAGATTCCCTCGTCTCTCTCCTGGTGCCATGAATTATTCTAGCAACTGATGGGAGCTGTGATGGCCACCACCTTCATCAAGATGGCTTTCCGGCACTCCGGAGGCAAGGGATGTAGATGACTGCTGCTCTCTCCTTGGAGTTCTTCCATTAGAACGCAGAAACTCGACTAGTTGCAAAGAGACGGTGACTCTCGGTCAGGACTTAGTCAAGACCATTTTGCTCTCAACATGACGGCTGAAACATCCGAAACCTCCCTAAGTAACTGAGGCTCCGGCAATGATCAAAGGTTTTCGAAATTAACAAAACAAATATGGGACATAACAGGATGTCGTATCTGCTTGGTCACTATTATGCATGCTGAGATCGCGTATTCTTCTGGTATAATGGCTTGTAAATTGATGCTTTGTAAGATGAGAACTCACGCCAAGGTGACACGCACAGACCCTACCTAGTAGCGCAGTGTATCGCCGCCAAGCCTTGTCTCAGCACTTTTATACCGGATTTTATACCCTAAAGCATGTACAAACGTTTTTCGACCATATTCTCCTCCACAAGTTTTGTGTAAGAACTCCACTAAATCTGATTTTACTAACCCGCACTTTTGCTAGCAAAAGATGCAATTCCGACTGAGAGGACGTTGGAACAATGGAAAATATTCACTCTGCGTCACATGTTTCCAACTGTCAAACCCGCGATGCATGGCCGATGACAGAAGATGCGGAAAATGTGCGCCGCTCCAGCAGTGCAGTTTCTCCCCTCGGCTGTTGAACACCTCAACCAATGAGATGTTTCGCTGTGCGATGGGGCGCAAAACTAGTGTTGATTGGCTTTGTCTGCGACAGATCGCACACCAAGGCACCTAACTTGGGGGTTAGGCGAAAACGGTGCTAACCGATATGGCAGAGTGGCAAACGAGGGCGTTATTGCGTCCTGGGCCCCTAGACCAAACTCCCCACTGAACGTCCTATAGGGCAAATTAATCGACGACCGAGATCGGTTTGACTTCGAAAGAGACCGCAGTAAGTGATCTGCCCAAACACACCTACCAGCCATCCGGGTCAGTAGGTTTGAAGTTCAGTGTGATTATGCTGAATAGGGTGCACACTGTGGTTGCTACAGTAAGGAAAGGGATTTCAAACCCGCTGACCCGATGAGAAGTCCCAGGTCCTCCAGACCCGTCGTTGGGTTGGCAGGGGGAAAAACGCATCCGAGTCATGAAACGTCATCCCCGCCATTCGCCCCTTTCAGTGAGGCCTTTCTAGCATAACTTTACTAACAACTTTCCAAACCCCGGTAAGAAAAGTCAAAGTAAAGCCAAGGGAAGCCAGATTATATTGCCTTCGAGACCGAATGCAGGTGACACGGAAGAATCTACTGACCCGATTTCATGGGTACAGGCTAGCGAAGCGGAAACCGAATCCCCTGCCAACGCAGCCGAGACAGATTATTTCAATGTTTAGGGGCGCTCACCGATCGTTCTTACGGAACTCACTCGTTCCGTTGTGCCTTACGGACTCTCCCTCGAGTCCAACCAGCAGCCGCACAGCGGCGCATGATATAGGCAGAATGATATTACCGACAAAGACAAGGGAGACTGGAATGGCCATTTCTGGCCAACCAATGAGGTTTTTCGCTGTGCGATGGGGCGCAAAACCAGTGTTGATTGGCTTTGTCTGCGACAGATAGCACACCAAGGCACCTTGCTTGAGGTTAGGCGAAGACGGTGCTAACCGGGCTCGTGGCTCAGTGGTTTGAGGCGTGGACAGGTCGCGAGTTCGAGCCTAGGGTGCGCCACACTTCGGGGTTGGGTATGACTGGCTGACGATGGCTAATAAGTCAGAAATGGCCATTCCAGTCTCCCTTGTCTTTGCCGGTAATATCATTCTACAGATTAGTTCTTCGACTCCGACAGTAAACCGTCCTTTGCCGGGGATAACATGTCGTTCACGGCTGTTGCGCGAGCAGTCAGCTGAACTTTTTGTGGATAATCAGGACTTACTTCACCAGCTCTAATGGACAGACACAATTGCAGCACACACACTTCAGCACTGAAATACAATTAAGCAAACAATGGGTCACCTAACAGACCGTGTTAGGGACATGCAATTAGACGCCGGTGGCCCTAATCAAAGCCAGCAGCGCATTAATCATTCAACACAATCACGGTTTGCATCCAAGACGGCAAATGAGAGACAGGCACTAAGGAAAGGATGTAAACTTTGTGTCCGTTCTGTCTTCGACGGTGGGCAGCGGGGTCAACGTCCGAAACGCTGGGTGTCCAGCAATGCCGCATAGGCGTCGGCCCGTATTTTTTGCATTTAAATACTGGGTTGTGGCACTCATAGACGCCAGCTGGATGCTTGATTCCGTGCCGCGCCCAACCGCACACCCAGTCGTCTCTGTCTGTTCATGCCATTGTAGCTCAATGCGTGTAGAAAGGGGCGAAGCGAAGCCGATAGTGCGCAGACCTGTCTCACTGTAATCGTTCAAGCCGTTACTGCTCCTAGGTGTGGGTGTGGTCATCGTCGTGTTTGATGGAAGAAACAGACTCCATAAGGTTAGCTTAGTGCACAGACCATTCTTTTGCATTGAGTGTGCGTATATGTGTGCTTATCTTGTGCCCCCAAAACGGACCACGCGGTAGATGCGCTCTACCAACACAGGGCGGCTATATCGGATTCTGGCAGACGTTATCGGAATGCACGCCATAACAAATGTCAACATTCCGGGGTGCTGTGGAAGACCCGGTTGCCGGCAGAAGTCGCGCACATCGGAACCCCTGTAGCCCTCCCCACTGTTGTTGTTGGTTAAAAACCTAGTCCTTTGCTGTGTGAACCAGGGGATGTGGAGAGGAGCGCCAAGGTGAGAGCTCGACTGTGCCATCCACCTGCGCCCTCCCCCGCCTCCGGTCTTCTTGACTCTCTCTTGACACCGGGCGCATGTAGGGGAGGAGAGAGTGCGGTACATGCCGCGCAAGTCTACTACCACTATACACTAACTCACGCGCAAGTAACCGTGCCTGAGCCATCCTGTTGTGGGGCACACTATGGGCATCGTCGGCAACGACGGTCGGACTGTCGTTGAATTGAAAACCCGCACTATTCAAATGCGAACTGCGTGTAGAGGTAAAATGACGACGAGGAACCCTGGGTGATGGATCCAAGGAGATGGCAACTTCCAATTGGACGATCCTTCTACATAAACGTACGCAGGACTTCATTCGAAGATCTACATCAGTCGCCAGAGCAGTGGTTCCCAAAACGGCCTCTTGCCGCTTAATGAACCTACTAAGATGAACCCTCTGATAACGGACCATTCAAATCAACCAGTTATTCTTCCATTTATTTAAATCTTAAGCGAATTCGCTTTGCCCTGTCGGACAGATTGGTGATCGAAGTCTAGCATAAGTGACGGAGGAATTGATAACATTCAATTCGCCACCGAACAAATTCGATTCGGGCATACAAAAGGACGTGCGAGGGGTGGGGTCTCAAAGAAACCGGTCATGCAGGATACTGGCTCGTACACATTAGTTGCATAGGCCCAAAGCAGCATAACAGTGGTGAGTCCGTGTGGCAAGAACGACGTAAAACATGCCAGAAATCGGCCCCTTCCACAGACTGAACATTTTCCATACCTTCAGGGAGCGAAGGTTTAGGGTCTTACGGGCTTCAGAGGTTACCCTTGCCCACGCTGTGTAAAAGTGACTTGGGCAGTATCATCTGTCCATAAATGAACAAGTTCAGTCTGCGACACCAGCGCATTGGCCTTGTAGGTCACACTTAGACGGTTTATGCGCTTGGACTACACGGTGCATAAACGCTGCATCGGAGATCTAACGGCAAACAGACAAAGGCGTAGAAAGAATTCGTCTCCACCATACGACAGGTAACTGCAGATTGTAACTTCATTATTCGTGTGACCGCATTTGAACTAGTTTGGCGAGCCGCGCTTCTCTTGAATATAGGACATGCTGATAGGTTTACAGGACCGAGGACTTTTGCACCCCTACGTGGCCAGTACGCTCCAGACCCAGTTTATGCAAACGGCAAGTTATCAAAGACTATGGTGACGAGTTTTTGCACAAAATCAGTGCCTCTCAAGAAGTGGATGAATTGTAATTCGGTCCGCGAGATGGAATACTATCCAGGGTCACTGGACCAGGATGGTCTACTGGCAGCACATGTTTGCCGAGAGACAAACGAATACGGCCAGCTGTAGTGTGATGCAACCGACCTGTGTGTCCTACTGTGTTACAGATAAGCGTTATTTGGAGACACAGATCCCCTACTTAAAAGATACCTTAGTCAAACCTTCAAGAGTAAAAAATGCGGCACAAGTCTGGTTTAGCGAAAACGTTTCAACTTCGCCAGGTTCCAGGCAAATGAGCTTGACAGGAGTAAAAATGCTGAAACAAGAGACTTCATGAAGAGGTAAGGCCCGAACATTGTAGCGTAAGCTCCTAAAAAGACATTTCTGTAGAGTAAAAAAGGCTTCAATTTGAGTACAAAGCAAGCTTTACAAAATTTGCTTGATAGGTGGTGGGTGAAACGTAAAGCAGCACCGGAAAGAGGGGGAGGGGTTGAGGGGGAGGAAGGGTTTAGGGAGTGCAACGCTGAAGGCAGTGATCGACGGTGACATACAAGCAAAGGAGGCAGAGAAACCGGCCGCGTGTTGCAGGTATACACAGCGAGAATGGGCAGGCAAAGGAATGGGTAACACAACAAAATCACTAAGTTGCCTCGTTGGGCCCTGGAAGTGAGGAGAAACGAGATTGCGAGGAGTGACTGAAAGAACGTTGTCGCGGCTGAGAGGATTCGCTCGCCTTAAGCGACATACCCTTAGGCTGCAGAATTGAGGTGTTAGTAGAACTAATAACGGCTGAGGGACTCGTGCTATTGGTCGTGGCAGCGACTGCAACAGCGGCCGTAGAAGCCAAATGCACTACCTGCGACATTAGGTCACAGAAGGGGTTCTGTGAGAGGAATGTGTTTGTTGACAGTGGTGGAGGAGCGCAAGATATGGGCAGGGTCGTTGGGGAGACGCAACTGCCAAGACCCACAGCAGACGTCAGCACTGATTCTGCCGTCGGTGAGCGACTAGTCTCACCATTCTTTCCTGAACAGGGTTTTCCTGAGGGCGTAGATGCAGCGACGGGAGTCGGTTGACCGCTGGCGGCTTGATGGTGAAAATGTGTTCTCAGATGGGAAATCACGTTACTTAGAACGGGATAGCGATTTCGAGCCACAGAGAACCGAACGGCGCAAGTACGTTCGCGTTTCTCGCGGCAGAGGTGACAGTAGAAAATGCCCGTGATGCGCCGACTTCCCCCCGGTGTCGAAGAAACTTCCATCTGGATATCAAAGTCCTCTCCACGAACAAGTTTGGCGTTGACAAACTGACGCGCCGCCAGGCGGCAAGCACTTGCCGATGAGTGCTCAATAAGTCTACTTAGGTCGATGTTGGAGTCATCATCGGGTTGGAATTGTGGATAGGCCGACAGCCTACGTGGGCTGGATAACAGAGGAGATGCCGATGTCGTCACCGTAATGCCCGAGCAAGGCGCCAAAGTCAACTCCTCGAGAATTCGCTTGCAACCGATCAGAGTGTTTTCGCTCAAATGACTGGTAAGAAACTCGGTGGGTGTTGTGACCAAAAGATCGCTGGAAGGGACAGAGGTGATCGCGTTTGCCGAGGAGGAAGACGAGTAAATAACAGCAGATGGGGATTGGTCCAACGACGGATGGACGTTCGTGACCTCTGGGAGCGGAGAACTGGGTGAGTGGACAGGTTGTGGGGAGTCATGGCCCTTCAAATGCACTTCATTAAGAAGCGGACTACTGGACTGAGGCTCTACGGTTGAACTTGATGTGGATGTCCAGAGTCCCGAGTCAGCTGATGTTGATAATGTAATATCCGTCTGAGTAACAGCATCCAGTAGAACATAGTGAGCGGATTCAATGCAATTCTCGTCGTAGTTTCCGCTTGGCGTTGAAGACGGGGTCCGTATTTGGGGGGCCACACCTGCAAACTCACCACCTACAATCGGGGACTGGCTTTGGTTCTGCGTTCTTCGCAACTCCTCAATAGCCAAACGGAGACCACATATGACACCCGCAGGAAGGCGAAAATGGGAAGGATGGCGGGCGAACACTGGCCCCAGGTAACGTAAACGCAGCCTTTTCGATGGCATCAATGAGCATGCCGTACCAACAAACTCCTCAACTTGTCTTATACCTGAATCGTTTAAGCACATAAGGACGGCAGGGGAGTCGAAGCCAGCCAGCTCGAGGCAGTTGATAACGTATTCCGAGCGGATGTATTTACCAAGAACAGATCGTAAGCTTGGGTCCATTGAACTACTGTGTGAATGAAAAACGCAATCTGGGAGGCTCCTCTCGCGTCCACCATCCTGTCGGTCAGAGTCGGGTTCGCTTGAGGAGTCGGTATCATGTGCGTCGATAGAGTTCCTGTTTGCCGAATTTCCTCCGGCGGAATGATGATCTGCCAGGCGAATTTTCTTTGTTAGGTTTTCTGGAGATGTGGGCGCATTCATGTCAGTAGCGGCAACATTCGGAAAGCCTCGTTTTTTGGGGTTTTGAAGAGTGGACAGTTCGGATGGCACGTTAAAAGAGGACAATGTGGTAGTCAAACTGCTTGTCATTTGTACAACAAAAGTCCGCAATCAATGCAAACACGGTTCTCGCGAAGCCTTCGAGGGGGCCCGCTCATCTGGACACTACAAATGGAAATCGCATATTAGCTACGCTAATCGATACGCGTGAGACCTCAGTGGCATTTTGGGGACAAAAGGCAAAATCTTCCAGACCAAAAGAGCAAAAATCTTAATTCCATGTCTGACACCGGCATCAGCAAAAGGTAGGTGGGGCAGTTGATGCGAACATTAACAAAGACTAGTTAGCGAAATCGCTCTTCCATCTCACTAAGCCGTTTTCGCAAGGAAAAAACAAACATGCCATAGGTAACAAAGTTAACAGGTTGACAGGTGTAAAAACGACCATGTTTATATAATCTCGTGCCACAGAAGACAACCCCTAAGCAGAAATTTTTAGTTCCTGAGCACTAACAAGAAAAAATTCTAAAATCGCCAAGTTAGTGCTTAAAGTGTCAAAAACGTTTTCCTTACTCACCATCGGTCAACTGATATGTTGTTCACTCTGGCGAATTAAAGTATGTTCTGTCGTTTACTAGCTAAAAGTCACCCTCAGACTAAACATTGCCACGTCAATAATGTTGAGTCCATCGTCGACTTGGACTTGTTCTAGCATACGCATCACGTAACGGGAGTTCATACCCAATTTTTATGGCTGAATCATATACCTCCTTGTAAGAAGGTCTGGTTGACTTGTTGGTTGGGTACCAACGAAGTAAAATCCGCCTGGTGGGATTAATCGTCGTAATAGGTTATACATTACCAGAAGTTGAATCTTTAACATAACCGTACGAAGTATAGGTTACCCACGAGACTTTGAAAATGTATCAACAATAGTTTTGCCGCGAAAAATAATTAGCATACGGAAGGCTAAAAACGGCCGAAATGCTTAAATCAGCTTCCTGTTTACGTGCAGGACATGAGGGTACTCCCGTACTTTAGGTTGTGGAAATACATGGATGGCACTAGTTTAACCACTGTAATGCAAAGACCTTCATGGATTTATTTGTTTTCCTTGAAATAATCACAGGAAACTCTGAGGAAAACTGATGACACCGAAGACCTTGCTCGATTACAAGACATCTTACGTCCTGGTATAAAACTGACGGGCCAAGTCTCCTGAAAGACAACTTTTGATCAATGAAAACAGGTAAAATAATACGGGCGATAGTGCAATACAACCGTGGTGGCGCCTACATATAACATTACGGGAAGTAGCCATTACAAATGTGGAGTTATTTGTTGCAATTTCCCGTTTGGCGTCAAAACACACACTCCGGTTCGCCGTCAAACAATTTTCTAGAAAAATAACCAGTTTACTAGTTGAGGCACCCAGCCAAATTTTCAGATGTGAATGCAACAATACCCCGGAGGCCCGTTTTTCTCGAAACTTCAACTTTAGTTAAGGTAAGTGTGTTATCCGTTCTGAAACATCAGGCTCAAAACTAGCAACCAACGCCAACTTCTCAAACGTAATTAGTCTGCTTGGCATTTGTCCAATAACTTCCATTTGAGTGGTTTAACTAGTGTGGCGACGGGCTTAGTAAGGCTGCTAAAGTAGCCGCTCTCTACGTAAGCACACAACTCGTTAAAATCCGACACCGGCTGACCATGTGTAAGTCCTACGGC